AGAAATAAACACTCACCCAAAACACATAAACAGAATACCCCAAAATACATACACCTGTCTAGTCAGAGCATTGTCCCAAGATTTACTGAGATTTTCCTGTTCATTTCTTTGTGTTGCTCTTGTATGAACCGGACAGGATTATAATATTCAATAATTTTAGTTTTTTAATCAGTGAAGGAACGTTAAGCAGAATGTTGCATGCCATTACCCTGGGTGTAGCATCATTTCTGAATTTGCAAACAACTATTGGCACAGCCAGTTACTGTGAAAGGTCTCATTGGGAGGAACAAGTATTGAGCTTTCTCAGTTCAGGTTTTAAAAATGTGTGAGACCCACATGGAATTCTAGACTTCTCCGTTGTTAGAATTTCCAAAATCCTATTCCTTAGTGCATGTAGTTATCTGCATTGGCTTTGAAAGCCTGTAGAGCTCTGAAGTTTGAAAGTAGGAAGACAAGGCAGATATCTGTCCCTTGGATCTAGAACCCAGTGTGCCTGGTCAACTTGCTTTTTCCTTGCTTTTCTGTTTTAGGTTGTATGCAGACTTTTAAAAATGCTAACTTTTTGCAATATTTATGTTAGAAGGAGGTCTCATTGTTACCTTTTGGTTTTGAAGACAGAGAAAATCTAATCTGGTAGGAGATGAAAGATCAATATTGTAATAAGTGCCTTGGCTTGATTTCGAAAAGATTTGAGGCTTGAGAAGATGAGCCTATTTGAAATAGAGTAAGAAATTTTAAAGAGGACACAATATCCACAGTTCTTGATACTTCTGAGGAGTGCCCTAGGAGAAACGCTACAGTGGTGTTGGAGAGGATTCAGTACAGCTGCCAGACTTTGTACTTCCAGAGAACACAGCTGTTGAGAAACCTGGTTTAGAACAGTCTCTGACCGGTAACACGAAGGCATTTCTGCCCTTCCTCTCCTGCCAAGGTCTATTGACAGTAATCGTTGCTCTTCTCAGTGTGATGCACAATACAGATGGACAGATATGGCTCTGATCCCAGAGAAGCTCTGAGATCCTAACCATAACATCCTCTCAGGAAAATATAGTTGAATAGGCTTTTTCACAACAAGCCTCCTTTGCCAGCTTTTGTGATTTTTTTTTTTTTTTAAATCTGTGTTTGTATCAAGACTTCTTTGAAGAATTCTGTTGGTAGCATTGGTAGCATAACACCTCTTTAAATGTGCAATTGTGTGTTAATAGATTTCTAAGAAATGTTAGAGCTGCTAAATTTGCCTGTAATGCTAACACAGTGCAATGGTTCTGCACTTTCCCAATTAAGCTTTATATGTTTTATATTCTTTGCCTCTCTGCTTGGCTCCAGCAGAGTGATATGAGGAAGGAGCTCATAGAAGGCTCAGAAAATTTGCAGCACTTGGGGAGTTATGATGGAAAATGAGAATTTGAGTATTTCTCACAGGGCATGATAAGCATGGCTTGTAGAGGACTTTGAGGTACATTGGGTTTGTCTTTCTAGACCATGTTTTTTGTTTTACAGAAGACCTCTTTGTTGCATAGGTCATCTTAATTTCCAGATGCACTGTAATTGCTGAAAAACACTTGAATGTGAATAATGTGATAACATATCCATGACTGTACCATTTATAGAGCTGAAAGGGATGGGAGAAATATACTTGTTCAAAATTGTTTTTCCAATGATAATAGCATGTTCCCTAAAGCAAATGCAAATTGTTTCAAACTGGGTTAGAAAGGTCCCTTTCCGGTGTTTGTTACCATTTTCCACTAAACTGAACAGATAGGAGGAGGCGATTCTGCTCTAGAATATGCTTAAAAACAGTACGTCAAACTAAAATACAAATTAGTGCAAAAGTGTGCTTGAGGGAAAAGGAAAACTTGGGATTCCTTTTATTTCTCCTTTGCTATTAATAATTTTCCTCTACAGCTGTCTAGGAGGGCCTGTGTTGGATTCATGAGACAGTACATGGTTGTGCAGCTTTCTGGGTCTTTCTTGTTTTTCAGTAACTGGTTTGCCAGCTTTCCTTACATAAATAACATGGAAAGTGGAAGCCTTTTCCAATTGTCCACTAATGTGTAAAAGTTGTTCTGTTTCCAGTGCAGAGCTGTGTGAGACATACTGTGTCAATCTGGGGCCTCTCAAGGCTGAAATCTGTAGTTCAGCATTAGTTTAGACACAAACCCTCTGAGGGCTGAGCTATACTGAAAGCAAACAAAGGCCAACAGAATTTTTGTCCTTTATTCCCATGGAAACTCTTTATGTTAGTAAACACGCCTTTGCACTATTTCCAGTGCAAGAGCCCTCTGCTGATGGTACTGCACAAGAAGAAATTCAATTAACTTGTCCATATAAACAAAAGTGTGTCAGATCCATCTACTTGGATTTGAGTTGAAAATGCAAATAGCAACCAATATAGAATAACTGGTGAAAAAGTAATTCAGGGAACAATTCCGTAAGAAAAGGGCAGCCCTTTTGATCCTTGCTAACGGAAGGGATATTTGTTTTCAATCAAACTTCAACCACTTCAGAGAACCTCCAATAAATTCCAGGATTTCCACACACCTCACTGTACGACCAGTTAAGCCTGGCTCTGGTTTTAACAAGTGCGGGGTGATTCCCCATCTTCCCTGGGAACGTGCAGACACTCGGGCACAGAGACACGAGCTCCACACGGCACTCTGCGGGAGGCAGGCTGTGCACAGCACGCGCGTGTTCCCATGGAAGAGGAAATGCTTCCGTACAGTCTGCGTAGAACAACTTCAGCCTTACCCATTCGTGCATAGCAAAGAAGGGTTTTCATGCTCTCCGCTCTCTACAGTAGAAGGAGGAACGGGTTTAATATTCAGGGACCTTTGGAAACAAGTGGTTGCAGTCTTGGTTGAGTAAGTGGCCTGCTAGCAGCCATGAACGTAAAAATTACTCATTTATAAAATAGTTCATGGTCTCTTAACTGCGACTGAGCGTACTGAATGGCGTCGCACTAGTGCAGAGTTTGACTAACGGGGTAGGTAAGTTGCAAATAATGCTAAAATATACAGGTGTTGTGTCAGCTCTTCAAACTTTTTTCATTTTTTTATATATTTTAACAGCTCCATCTGGATCCCATAGCCACTATTATAGTTATAAGTTTTATTGTTCCCTTTGCCTCTGCCTGCTGTTTGCATTTGCACGCTACTTACAAGTGTCCTGGAAAAAACTCCTGAACCTTTCTCCAGAGTCTTAAATTTGATACTGTGCATGTGAAAAATGCAGGGAAAGCACATTTTTTCAAATTTGCCTTGCTAAACATGATATGGTACAAATTAAAATATATGTTTCATACCCTGCTTTCCACATGATGTTCTGGTAATAAATTTCAATGGACGGGCAAGTGCGTTTGCTGATCTCTCCAATTCTGTCACATCTATGTTGGTTATTTATGCTGTGCTATCGACTCCTAAAAGCTTGATTTGGCTAATAAGAGTCATAAAAAATAATACAGCTGCTGCTTCTTCAGAGTCTTTGTTGGATATTGTTAAAGGAATATTGTCCATAGTGCAGAACAAGTCTTAGAGGATAGATAGATACTGCTTATGCTGTAAGGTAGCTTCATAAAAGTTACTGTGATTTTGTGGACTACATTTATAGGTAAACCTTCTGCCCAGTGAGATTCATTAGAGTGTGTTTTCCAAGGTTAGTTTACAATTGTGCTCTAAGTTATAAAGTCATTGTGTTTTGCAGTGCAATTTTTCTTTTGTTCAAACAGATTTTTATTTTTTTTTTAAGTCTGGTATTTAGTAATTGAGGGAACCACTTCTCAAAGTTAAGGTTGTAATATTGAGTTCACTGCAGTCAGCTTTCAAAATAAGACCAACAGATGGTAAAAACATTTTGTGCCCAGCATCCATTAAATTTAATTGGAAGTTGAAAGCTGTATTTGCTTAGTATTGTTAAAAATCTCATACTTCCTTCTGTATTAGACATTCAGTAATTACCTAAGGTGCCTGGACCCCAATTCAGGCTTATAAATGTACTGTGGGACCCACCTGTTCCCAAGTCAGCATATTGTCTCAAACTTCTATGCCATTATTCTTAAAATGTTCAATAAAGCTGTGTCACAGATGGTAGATCCTATTAACATAAAACTCTTTCTTGTCTCAACATATCCTGTTATGCCAGCAAAAAATAGTGTGATGAGGATATGAAACAGCCTTTATGTGTACATTTTCAGTTCCTGAAGTTTCCCACCATGAAAGTGAGGAAACTCTTGACATCTTCCAATTTTCAGTGATTTAGTAGTGGTCTGCATGCTGCACATTGAACATTCAGTGCCACACACACCATTTCAATTCATCAACACTGAGCTCTCACGAGTTCTGAAACTTCATACATCAAAATAAGCTTCTCTCCAGTGCACTGGTAAGGGGTTTTTGTTCCTTTCTCGCATGTGCTAATTGCAGCCGTTAAATGCCTAGTCTTAGTGGTATCTGTGGGACACTACTTATTTAAAATTAAAAAAAAATAAATAAAAAGAAGGAAAAAAATACTCGCTTATGCAATGAGAACCATAGTGTTGTATTAATCACAGCCCCTGCCTGGATACAGCATTCCCTCTATAGGAATGCAAAAGAAATTGGCTGAAAAATTATCACAGGTCAATTAGAAAAACACTTCATACTTTGAGTGAAAGTAGGATTTCTTGATAAATATTCTGCAAAGAGAAAATCTAATGAACAACCTGTAAAGGATTAACTCCCTGAGCCTGTATTTCTCTCTGCACCTCAGCTACCCGTTACTTTTGTACCGCAGCAACACTACGTGCGTATTGCACTGTTCAGAAACTGTCATCACGACTCACGTCCCATTTCGGCAGGCACAGTGCAAAAATCAGACCTTACACATGTGCTAAAAATGTTTAACTGTTAATTTTGTTCCAAGGAGCTCTTTGAATGGCCTTGCACATAGCATGGTTTTGGAAGGACGGGATTCAGGCTTCTCTTAGTGTGTGCCTGAAAATGATCAATACGTTATCTTTCTTCCAGGTGAAGGAGGCCATGCAGAGAATCCATGACCGAGGAAATATAGGAAAACTAATTCTGGATGTGGAGAAAGCACCCACTCCCCTGGTGAGTGCAAAGTACTGCATACGTGGTGTACAGTCACAGAACTTAAAGCATGTAGTGACTTTTGGAGACATGTCTCTTAACGATCGTTTTTTTCATACTGTTTTCTTCTAAATCCATAGCACCTAAATACAACCAATAATCCTAATTTAAATAAACCCAAAGTGAAATATAATTTTAATTCCTAGAGTCTCAGCAGTGAATTTGCTACACTGAATGGCTATCTGCCTCTCCTAAAACGTGTTTGCAAGTCTTAGATCAAGGTAGAACTGCCACATCTATTTCTGCCCCTGTGATGGAAAACACATAGACATTTCACATAGTACACAATTCCTGGGTTAGTAAGTGAATTGAACAGAAAATGAACAGAAAAAGACACAGTCAATATTACTTCAGTGTACAAATGTAGAAGTGCTTTCTGATTCCCATGCAAAAGTCAGAGTATAACTTTGGTAGGAATTTCTTTACTTTTTCAATAATGTGTGAAGTATGATATCTAAATATTTCCTTCTATGAATGTTCTGGAGGAAGATAGTTGTGATGGAGCTCTGGTCCACTGGATTTGGAGCACTTAACATGGTACTGAAACACTACAGAGAGCAGTAGTAAAGGAAAGTCAGTCTCACACCTAAACGTTCACTGATGATGCAGGAAAGAGCAGCAAAAAAGATAATGAAAAACTGGCTTCAAATCAACACTGATGTATGAAGTTTGCTTTCAGATCTGAGATACCTCCTGTTTGAAAAAAACAGAAAAGAACTTGGAATTACAGTTGAGCTCTTACTGTCACTTACTCTAAAATTGGCCCCAAATCTCATGCAAAATTGCTGCAAGGAAAAGGAGGGCTTTTGGGACCTCACATGTGGAAACTAGGCATTATTTTGTAGCTGAATTGCATCTTAAAACTGTAAACAAGAATCTATAACAACATTATTACATTTCTTCCATCTGTTCTCTTGATACTTGTATTCACAACAGCCATTGGTTAGAACGTGAGAAAAAATTTGATACACTTTCACGAAAGGGTGTTAATTCAAAAATATGAGTAACTTCAGAGCATCGCTTTTCTCCATTAAAATCAGGTTGTGTTTGAGATTTTTATTTTTATTTGCAGAAGAGGCTAGTAATCAAACAGGGAAAGTACAGTGTCACTGCATTTCTCTGTAAAAAGCAAATGAGTCCCTTGCTTAGTTGGTTTTGAAATAGTTATAAGCTGATACAAGAGTCTTCTTGTGTCCTGAGAGGTGATGTTGGTGTGTAAGAGAATTCAGCCGCACGAATCGATGCTGATAAACTCCACGACCTGTCCAGTTCACCAGACTCTTGCTGTGCCTCCAGAGACAAGTCAAACTGATGAGGTGAAGTACAGGAGAGTCTTGTGCCTTTGCACAGCTTGTAATAAATAGTCTCATGAGAAAAAAACATTACATGCTCCTTAAATGCTGTCCTGAACTACAAATTTCTGCAATTGCCCGCTACCTATACAGGCATCTTCAATAAAATGCGGAAATGCAGTTCCTCCCCACTCCTGTGTGATCCAAGATTTGCACTCTTGTCATGGGCGTATTCTGCCAACACCTACATATCCACTGCTCTATAAAGTTTCTTTGTTTTTTATATAAAACAGTTGCTCTCGGAGTTTTCACGATGCTGTGCCTCATGTGGGACCAGCTCCCATCCATTTGCTGGTGTTAAAGAATAGTTTCACCTCTTTCTGGAAGAGCAGGTACAGAAGGAGTTGTAAACCAGAGGTCTCACACATTCTGTAAATGTCCTACGCAGGCGTGTTTCCTGTCTGAGCACCTTACTATTAGTTTACTACGAGTGCCCAGATCAGAGTCCCCTCGTGCAGCTGTCCTACAGAACAGCTTTCTGTTCCGTAATTCGGCCGTAAGCCGCGAGGGAACGGCTTATGATTTTAGCTGGAAGCGTTGAGTGCCAGCAAAAGTTTTGAACAGACAGGATGAGTATTTTCATGTCGCAGTCATTTTTAAAGTCACTTTATCAAATGAATCAAACTGAAATAAGACTGAACAAACCAATGCTCTGATACCCTTCATCTTTCATCCTGCAGATGGCCAATGACAGCACAGAGACGAGTGAGGCTGGAGAAGAGGAGGAAGACCATGAAGGGGACAATGAGAATAAAGAGCGCATGCCATTCATCCAGTAACAGCCAGGGGTGGTGGAAGCAGAAAGATTGATGAAGTAGAAGGGAACAAGACTGGGAAATCTATTCTGTGCATCAGTGAACAAATGCTGTAGTACAGTGTGTGTTGTATTTGTCTGCAGTCAGCTGAGCTATGAGCTGTTGATCATTGTTGTTTTGAACTCAAGTGCCATTCTCATCCAGTGCAGTATTATGACATTCCTGTGTAATACCCAATTTCCCTGTAGGAGTCCATGGATTTTTCTGTTCCGGTTTAAAAGCCTTATTAACTTACCGTGTAATTTTAGATGGGCATCTTTCTCATGCAAATTCCGACATTTTGCGTAAAGTTATTTGGGGGGTTTGGGCTTTTTTTGCAAGTTGGAAACAGTAGCAAAAAAAATTCCCCACTTGCTGTCTGGAATATTCTAGTAACTGGAGGGAGGATTTTAAGTTTCTGGATTTTCAGTGTTAAAATATGTTTTCCTCTTATGAACCACAGATAAAAGTTGTACAAAAGATGAGTTTTCATTTTCCTCAGTCACGCTTTATCATTTTATAAGCAATCCTATCTTCATTTTCAAAAATACCTCGTTTAGAGTTGTGGAATCTGAAGTTGTGCAAGAAGTCATTAATTGAGAGACTTTGATTAGGGTTGTATGATCACGTTAGTCATCAGCACCAGTGATTAAACGATTTCATTCAGAGTGCCAACTATCATGCTTTCCTGCT